TAGGGAGGCAGGCTGTGGACCCCGGCTTACCCATCACATCGGACCCTGGACCCTCTCCGGGACATCTGCGACCTGAAATGGAGACACCTGGGGGCCACAGGTGGTTAAAGCCGAGTCTGTCACGAGAGCATCTCCAGACGACTCCCGCATCCAGCGACGCAGAGCCCCAGACCTGACCTCGTTCTTTCTTTCCCATATCTTGAGTTGCCAGGTTTTCCTGGAGTCTGTGAACTTCGCAGATTCTTTCCAATAAAATCTTTTTCGTTTAAGCTCACGAAAGTCTTTCTGTTGCTGACAGCCCACAACTCCTAAAGACACGGGTGCCAACGAATTCACGCGGAATAGGAGAATGCTCTCAGAGAGCAAATACTCGTCTTGGGTTGTCTTCTTAGAAAGTCACAATCCAGGACCTTTCATTTGCACGCACAGCATTCGGGGCTACTGCTGCCCTGTCTGGGGAATTGGATGAGGCCCCCTTTGGCGGTGAGGGGACCTTGAAGACGGTCTGAGTGTGGAGGAGAGGAGGGGGTGGTGGGGAAGGTATTCTAGAAGGGCAGAACCTCGGGGTGTTACAGGAAGTGGGTGGGAGCTTTCGGCCCGGCCCCAGGAGACACTAGACCCCACGTTCCCAAGACGGGGCCAGACCGCGTGCTGTGTTCTCCAAGGCGACGTCCGGAACTGGGTAGAGACTTTTAAACTCTTCACCCACATTAAAAGTGCAAAATAAAAACGGAGTTGGACTTTTTTCAAAGGGGATGTTTGAGGAGGATTCCTTGGGAGAGAGCTTCTTGGATCCCTACTCTTTCCCTGGGGTGGGGTGAGCCTGCCGGTCTCCTCAAGGCTAAGCGGGGAGAGCGTTAGGTGGACCCACTGAGACACTTCATCCATGTCCCTTATAGTTTGGGGGTCACAGCGGATGAGTGACTAACTCCGTTTGGGGTAGGCTGGGAGGGAGGGAAGGTAGGCTGCCTGTTACGTTTCAGCAAAGATTACTTAATGGGGGCAACCGCTTCCAGGCTTGGTCAGGGCAAATGGGTTGGACATTGTCTGCGGACCAGATATGGCCACACGTGGGGTCTCTCAGGTCTGGTGTAGAGGGACAGTGATTTTAGCAGAATGCTGCTGGAGGGTCTCACGAAATTCCCAGGGGCAGGGGAAGGGGTGGGCAACCAGGCAGCATGGGGACGCTTTCGTCCACATGAAAAGCAAAACAAAAGTTGCTTAATGATCACAGCCCTGGAGGCCCTCCTATCAGCCTGACAGTCACAGGGACATCATCAAAGCAAGATCTGTCAGCAGTGGGCTCGACAGGTTTGTGGGAGGGGACCCAGGGTGTTTGCGAGACGCCATCACGGGGTGGGGAGGCTGGAGAAGGTCAACGGCCGTCGTAGGGCGGACGTGGAAAACACCAAGAACCAACCGCACAGCATCACCGTGAAGTCTTTGTACCAACAATACTGAACCTGGATGTCATCAAACCTCTAGATCTAACTTCTAGTTTAAAGGGAAAACAGGGGAGAGAGAAACAAAAGAAACGTTTGAAGGAAGCAGTCAGGTCATGTCAGCAAGGGATATTCTGCCGAAAAACCAACATCGTTTCTTCAGCAAATCGACGGCAGGAACGGAAAGGGGCAGAAGAGAGGGGAACAAACCTGGACTAAAAGATTTGACAACAATTAATACCGGGGCGCCTGGGGGGCTCAGCTGGGTAAGCGTCCACTTCGGCTCAGGTCACGATCTCACGGTTCGTGGGTTCGAGCCCCGCGTCGGACTCTGGGCTGACAGCATGGAGCCTGCTGGGGATTCTCTCTCTCCACCCCTCCCCCACTCAGGCTCACTCTCTCTAAAAATAAACAGATTTTTTTTTTTTAAAGGGTCCTCGAGCTTATATCCCAGGGGACCATCAAGGGAAGTCCAAAAGGAGAGCAGACTTGAGGAATCAAGGACTTTAGCTTTGGGGGGTGATAGCGGCCGGTATTTTTCACTTAGGTTCCTCGCACTGCCTTGTTTGAACCTTCCGCGAACGCTCTCCCCATGCAGGTGGAGGGTGCTCCTGTTTACAGAGGGCAGCCAGGCTCAGAGAGGCTGACTCCAGGTCACGTGAAGGCCAAGTAGGGGAGCCAGGACTCACGCCAGGCACTGCGGACGGTTCCCTCCAGCGGACATCCGGCTTCACCGCGTGGTAGCCGTTGGGGAAGGCGGTGCTGGGTCGGCCTCAGGTGCGGCGGCCTCACGGAGCGCCCCGAGGCCTGGGCCGTCCCGGCCCCCGCTGCCAGCCTCTGGAGATCTGCCCGCTGAGCCCCTCACCGTCTTCTGCCTCCGCCCAAATGTCCCCTCATCGCACAGACGGTCCCCGAGCTGCCTTTACAAACAGCCACGCCCTCCCCTTCTCCCATTTTTCTCTGGCTCCTTTCCCTGCTTGGGATTGGTGCCACCTGTCACCTTACACAGAAACGCATTTCCTTCTCCCTCCCGCTCTAGAACAGAAGCACCGTGAAGTCAGGACTCGGCCAGCCCCGGAGGCTCCATGAATATTTATCGAACGAATACATGCGCACACACGAATAAATGAATGTAAAAAGAGGGATGTTGGTCATTTCTTTCTCTACTTGAGAAAATCACGCTGCTGGGACGTACTGTAAGGGGGGGGGGGGAGCACACTTGACCCTTAAACAACACAGGTTTGAACGGAGGTGCATTTTTTCCGATACAATACAGCACTGCCCGTGTATTTCCCTTACGATTTCCTTAACATTTTCTCTTCTCTGGCTTCCTTTACTGTGACATACAGCATAAAACGCATATAATATAGCAAAAATGTGTTAATCCACTGTTTGCGCTATTGGTAGGCTATTAATAGCTATGTTTTGAGGGAGCCAAAAGTTATAGGTGGATTCTCAACTGCACGGGGTGGTGGGGGGGGCGGTCCTACCCTCTGCCCCCCCCCCCCCGCGCTGTGGGAGGGTCGAATGTAAATCTGTCTTCCCGTCACTGTCACTATCGAGAGGTGGCAGAGCCCAGAGGAGACTCAGCAGGTTTGAAAGCCGGAAGGCCCCCCCCCCCCAACTTCTACAGGTGAGGGGAAGTCCAAGGTCAGAACTCACCTGGCCGTTGCTCTCTCTGCAACCATCTGAGAAACTCATTCTCTGATTCTTTGCGTTTCCAAAGGTGGATCCCATGATGAGGAAGCGGCCTGGGGAGTCCTGCCTGAGCTCAGGGAAGCCGCTCCCGACCACCCGGCCTCCGGCCGGAGTCACGCTCCCCACAGGCCCGACCACCTTCCTCTTCGTCCTCCTTCCGGCCTGTGGGAGCTGAGCTGCCGCCCACCTGGCCCCGATGGGCCGTGGGGCCCGAGGGTAACGAGCTCACACACACACACACGAGCTGCAGCTGGCACCCCAGGGGCCGGTCCTCGAGGCTCTTGGCTGGAGGGCCAGCGGGTGAGGACGCCCCACAGAGGGGCCGGGAGAGTGCCGCTCGGGTCCGTGGCCAGGTGTTTCCAGGCCGGAGAGTCAGCGAGGGGGCGGGGACGTGCCCTTCGCACCTGCTGACCACCTCCCCCCGGGGCCCCGGACCGCGACGTGGCCAGTCAGGGCAGCCGCTCCCCCCCGCCCAGGCAGCACCACTGTCCCCTCCCACCTAGAGGCCTCTCAGGCCAGGGCCCGGCTGGCCGGGGGCTGCGGCCTGTGTCCTGGGATCCCGCGCCCCCACCTCGCGAGCTGGGCCCTTCGGAATTAACTCTTTGGCACCACAGCTGGGCCCTGACCGAGCCTCCACCCCTCCTGACTGCCCCCGGTTGCCGGTCCTGTCGCCCGGCCCCGGAGGCCACCCCGTCCCGGAACCCTGGGGTCTGAGGCCTTTCCAGACACCGCAGGGCAGGCCAGCTTTGAGGTTAGGGCCGAGGCTTGGACAGGAAGCAGCCCGGGGAGCCCTGGCATCGTGAGGACAGCAGCAAAGAGCCGAGGCCAACGGTGAGGCATAGGTCACAGGGGGCAGATATCCCGCACTGGACTCGGCCGGCCGCCCAGCGGCGAGGTCGCCAGGAGTGGGTGGTGGGACGGGCCCCGGTCCAGCAGGCTGGCAACCGTCAGCACGTCACTTTGCAGGGACGGACGGAGAAGCGGACGTTTTCATGCATCACCCCGGTCCCTCAGAGCAGCCCTGCCTGGGACTCGAGTCTCTGCTATGGTTTCCAAGCCAGGGCCGGACCAGAACACCTGTGCCCCCCTCCCGCCGAGCGGGGCTCTGGACACGGGCACCAGCCGCCATCTGTTTGAACCCTGGACACGCCACCTCTCTCCCTCTAACCCTCCTGCGGCCGCCAAACCTGACGGGCACCTGCATTTGCTGAGGAGACTTTACCCAAGCAGCCCCGGGACAGAGAAGTCACTGGGTGCAAGTGGAGGGCGGGGTGGGGGTGCAACCACCTGGCCACACAGGGAGGCTGGCCGCAGCCCGGGGATGACCACGCGGGCCGTGTGTGCGTGTGTAGGGGGCACCTGAGGTCTGTACAGAAGGACTCTCCAGGCAACTGCTCCCCCAACGGTGGGGGGCAGGGGAGGTGGGGACAGCGTGGTGACATGATGTGCCTGACTTCCAACCTCATCCTTAGGGTCGGCCCTCTTCCCACAAACTCAGGAGTCACCTGTGGAGGCTTCTCCGTCTGTTTTGTGTCATGAGGAGGCGAGCGCAGGCTGGTGGGCTCAGCGGCGTCTGGAGAGGGGCCCGGGCCTTCCCTTCCTGCCCACGCTTCCCGGCAGGGGCAGGGGGGGGTGCTGCTTTCAGAGCGGGCCAAGTCCCCCCCTCAGGGGAAGGTGGGCAGGGAAGCCCCGCGGAATGGGAACATTACCACGAGGATGAGGAGGGGGAGGCGGACTGAGCAGACTGATCTGGCTCCGTCCAGACCCCCCTCAGCAGGGGAGGTGGCTCAGGGTGGGTACAGCTCCGAGGGACAGGATCGACCCTGCCGGACACAGCCACGAGGAACAAAAACGCGTTTGGGGGGTGGTTTTACATTTCCTCTTTATTTAAAAAAAAAAAAAAAAAAGCATTTTTCTGGGTTTTTAAAACTTCTCCAATACATAAAAATTTTCCCGCCCCTTAACGCTTCTTTCTCGCCTCCTTCACCCCCCGCTCCTGGGGCCTTCGGCCTGCAAGACCCGGATGGAGAAACCTTTCCAATGGCCAAGATCCGGGAGCTGGAGGGGCTGAGGGTTTGAAGGAAGGTGGTTCCTGGTCAGAAGGAGAAGTTCATTTGCACACAAATATAAACCGTGGAGGATGAGACCAGCACATACGTGTATGGATTGATCTACAATCCACTTAAAAAAAATAGACCCGAACTGTCATTTTACAACTGCAACATTATACAAAATATTATATATTTTTTAAACAACACACACCCACACACACGCGCACGCACGCACACAAGGCGCCGGGGCCCCCCCTGCACTTCCGCACGTGGAGACGGGCGTCAGTAGGCGAAGATGACGTGGTAGGTGACCTGGTGCCCATTGTCCCAGGCGTAGAGCAGGCGGTCCTTGGGGTTGTAGTCTATCTGGGTGGTGTACGAGTACTCGTTCTCAAACAGCAGCCGGGGCACGATCTGCGTGTTGGTGTGGGTGTCGAAGGCGTAGGAGATGTTGGCGTTGCGCTGGTTGTGGCTGTCCACGGCGTACAGCACCCCGCAGATGACGAAGCAGTTGCCGTACAGGTGCCGCCGCAGCCCCGTGCGCCACGTGGTCTCCTTCTGCGTGCTCAGGTCCGCGGCGTTGAGTTTGCTCAGCACGATCACCTCCTGGCTGAGGCCCTCCTCGTCCAGGGCCGGGTAGATGAGCCACAGGCCGTTCTCGTCCACGGCGAAGTCCACGTCCGAGTGGCCCTGCCACCGCCAGGGCGTGGCCTCCTCGTAGGCCACGTCGTGGAGCATGGCCCAGGCGGCCACGAAGCGCTGCTTCAGGTCGTACTTGATGATGTTGCGGGTGAAGGCGCGGTTGTAGTAGAAGGCGCCGCCGTATACCACGTGACCCGTGCCGATCCAGCTGTAGGGCAGCTTGTAGGAGTTGCTCCAGCGACCTGGGGGGGGGGGGGGGGGGGCCGGGTGGGGGGACCCGCCAGCGGCTAGGGGTCCGGACCTGGGGCCGCGTCTCCGCTCTGCCATTTATGGGTTTCGTCCAGCACACGCCGAGCTTCCACACGCCCGCCCACCACCCGCGGTTTCCAGTCCCAGGGCGCTAACCCTCGAGAGCCCAGCCTGCACCCCACCCCACCCCGCGCCCTTGGAGGGGGAGGGGCTGTCACCACCGGCCCCCTCCAGTCCACGACCCAGGAGCTGTGCGCAGGGAACGCGGGGCGGGCAAAAGCGGGCCCTCCCGCGACCAGGAAGGACCTCTCGCCACCGGAAGGCGGAAGGCCCTTCTCGTCCGCCCCTTGCTTCCGGAGATCGGCCGCGATGGAAGCAGGAGGGGGGAGGGCACCCACGGGGCCCGCCGCCCGTACCCTGTTTGAAGTTCTCCAAGTTCCGGAACTCCACCAGTGTGTTGCCATAGTAATAGTTGGTGACGTAAATCCGCTCATCCTTGGCCAGGGGGTCCTTCATCCAGGCCCCTTCGTTCCGCCCGTACGTGTTCTGGGTGATCGGCCCCGTGATGGTGGACAGGGTGTCCTTGCACCTTCCTGATGGAGACAGGGACGAGGGGCAGGGGTGAAGGGGGACCTGAAGCCAGTGCCCCCCTCCCAGGTCTGACCCCGTGCGGCTTCAGCGGCCTTCGAGGCACCCAGAGCCGAGACGCCTCGACATCGTCCGCTCCTCCTCCCGTCGGTCCTGCGCTCTATCTACTCACTCCGAGCCACCTGCTGCCACCATCCCCACTGCGTTAGTGTCCCCGTGCGGGCTTGTCAGCCCTACAGACTCCTCCCTCAAGGATCTAAGCTCCAGAGTTCTCTTCTGACACCACAGCCTCCTGTGAAAAACCATCCTACTTCTACTGGATTCCATCTGTTCCCACCGTGCTATGAACGAGCCTCTCCGGGACGTCATTTCTCTGCTGAGTGACCCTGGTGCCTCCCGCTCCGCCCTCCAGGTCTCCCCCACCTAGAACGCGAGCACCGCGGGAGGCAGGCAGGGGGCTTCCTCCTCCCCCACGGTCCTCAGGATACAGAATCTGGGTGGATACATGGCAGCTGGGGAAGCCCGACCAGAGCTGAGCAACTTGCCTACCGCCTGTGACAGGGACACGGGGCTCCACCAGCCGCTGAGCTGCCCAGAGGCGTCTGGCCAGGCTGTCTGGGGCCAGGTCAGTCCCGGTTGAGCAGTGGCTGTCGGTGCCCCTGAGGCCCACCCCCTGGGTCCTGGAGAGCTGTCCTCAAGCCCGTGCCCCTGTCGCTATGGTGGGCAAGATGCCAGGGTCCCCTTCTGGGGGGCTGGGGGAACAGGGGACCCAGCTCCACGTCAGGAGCTGCTTGGCTGTAGGCGCCCCTTCTAAGCCAAGTCTGCCTTCGTGGGACAGGAGCTCGGTAACGTACCCCTGATGGGCTCTCTGGAGTGACCTCTTGTGCCCAGGAGGGGCCCTAAAAGGCCACGGGAGCCACGCTGAGTTCTAGACCAAGTGGAAAGCCTGCCGTGCTTAATACGTAGTGTTGTCATGTAGTGAGCACAGCCCTCCCAGATACTGAAATGATGTGCGACCACTGAGGACGTGTTCTTTCTGTCCCCGCACTGGTGGGTTAGGGAGGAGGTGGGAAGGTGAATCCAGCCCTCACACGGCCCCCCGTCCTGCTCCTCCCGGCCGAACACCCCCACCTGCCATGAAGACTGGTGTGCGCATGGGCGAGAGTGATCAGAGTAACTGGTCCCTGACGTTCACCTGGGACAAAAAACAAAGGCCTACAGTTCAGACTCCGGGCGCTCTCGATTCCAGGACACCCTCATTTCCAAACTGCTCCGATCCGTTCCATCCATCCAGCTTCCCCATTAGTGGTCTGAGGAAGGAGCTCGAGCTGGCAGGACAGGCAGGCACAGTGCCCTTGGCCCCGGGCCCGGGGCAGCAGGCGGCCGGAGGTGGGATGAACATTGTTTCCCAGGCGGGCCCCGCGGTGGGGTGCAACTGGCAGGCTTCAGGCAGCCCTGTGTGGGGTTCATTAGGTCCCGATCTGACAGAGCGGGGAGGGATTCGGTCTCCGTTAGACAAACAACAGAGCCGACCAGCCAAAGCCTCATTCCCCCACATCTGAGCTCATCTGTTCAAGACAATAAACCAGAAGGCTAGAGCTGAGCCCAGGCAGCGGCGTCTGATGGAAAATATCTCGTTCCCTGGCGCCGACCGGGGATGCGGGCTGATAGGTGGGGAGGCCGTGCTTCCTCTGCGCGGAGGTGAGCCCTCGTGTGCCACCCCCAGGGAGGAGCACTTCTCGTGTCCCCTCTCTGACCAGACTCAGGAACTGCCGATGAGCTCCCGGGAGCCAGGACTCCTCTGAGTTTTTTGAAACACTAGGGTGCCCTGGGCAGCCCGCTAAATCCCTACAGGTCCCGTCTGAGCCCCGAGGCTCTGCTGCGGCTCCCGAGGTGGGGGCGGGGGCGGGGGAGGCTTTAGAATCTGTCCCAGGTTTGGAGCCAGAGGCCTGGCCTTGGTCTTGGCCCTGCTACTGACCCCAGAGTCTGTGTTACCTCCAAAATGTCATACAGCCTTAATTTCTTCTGCAGTAAAGCGAGCGTAATATATGTCCTACCTACTTCACAAAGGTGCTCGGAGAGAATCCACTCCGATGACGGCACGGTAGGCTGAGTCATGGGCCCAAAGACACCCAGGTCCTAAGCCCTGGAACCTGTGAATGTGACCTAACATGGCAAAAGGGACTGTGCAGATATGATTAAGTCAAATATCTTGAGATGGGGATATCCTGGATTTTCCGAGTGAGTCCCCAATGACTCAGCAATTCCCTTATAACAGGGAGGCAGGAGATTTGACAGGAGGAAGCACGAGGGATGCAACCGCCAAGCCAGGAAAGGCAAGATATGGATTCTCCCTTGGAGCCTCGGGAAGGAATCAGCCCTCCGACATCTTGATTTTAGCCCCCGTGAGACGCATTCCAGACTTCTCACCTCTAGAATGGTCAGAGAACAAATTTCCATTGTTTAAGCCACTAAGTTCGTGGCAATTTGTTACAGGAGACATGGACACTGAGGCGGATGGAGTCGGCTCTGGAGTCAGGCGTCCCTACCTCTGTAGTTAGACGGAGTCCCAGCTGGCAGGCACCCAGGACCTCAGATAGAGGGACACGGGCCGGCAGGAGGGCAGAAACAGCGGGCACACACGCGCGGTTTCAGAGCACTTGAAAACATGTTCAAGGTCAGTAAAACCATGAGGCCCAGACCCATCACCGCGGCCTGAGAACTGGGGCCGTTCAGACGCTCCTGCCCTTGGCAACAAACTGTCAGCCTCGGGGGGAAGAAGCTTCGTGTTAACAACTCTCTTCAAGGACAGGGAGAGAAAGGCGGGAGGAAGTTCAAAGGAGCCACAGGGGAGACGGGCTATCTGTGACTCAAGTTACAAGCGTCCCCCGTGCTCAGTGACGGCAAACATGTACAAAACCCTCTCTAGGTATCAGCCCCTTTAATCAGACACTTCGGTGGCTCTCCTGCGCAGGGTCCCAGGGGCTGAAAACAAGGGGCTCCTCCCCTGAGCATATGCACCTCCCGCCCCGAGAAAGGCACCGCATGCCACCCAGTCACCACACCAGGGTCCTGGTCCCTCCTGCTGTCTCCTCCGCCCCCACCCGCAGGTGGCTGTCTCCCACCTCTCCCTCTCCCCGCCTTTCCCCTCCCCACCACTGTGGCTTAGTTCAGACCTCACTGCCTGTTTCCGGGGTCACTCCAGTTACCCCGCTGGCCTCTCTGGCTCCTCTCTGCCCCTTTCCACCTCCCCTGCCCCGTGGTCACGAGCTGTTTTCTGCTTAAACCCTTAACCCGCCATCGCCATCACCGGCCACCGTGGGATGCTGACTCAGCCCCTATCCCGGCACGCCTGTCCTCCTGCAGTCTATCCCTGCCCCCGCAGATCCCCACCAAACTCTGGTGGCTCCGGGGGCCAGGCGGGGACAGAAACCGGTGAAGCGGGGCGGTGTGGGACGACAGGCAGCAATATAGAGGCCGTGGCGGGTTGGGAGAGCAGCTGGCCCGAAGGCATCCAAACTCAAGGCTGTAAGAACATCCTGGGATGAATTCAGCCCTCTGGCCGCCACACTAACTGCCTGTCTTCTCGGGCTGCCCTCTCGGGGTGCACAGGCCTTCGTGGCCTGTGATCTCTGTGCCATCACAGTGGGCCCCCGCTAGGAAGGGGCCGCCCTGGCTTTAACGCTCTGCTGTCGCCATCCTGACACTCTTCATAATTTTACCTGTGACCTTGTTTCTAGAAGCGAAGTCTAACAGGACCGTGGAGCGCGTGCACGTGTACAGGAGTACGCAACACGTGTGTGTCTGCCTTCCTCGTCACCCGTTTGCACATGGCATTTGCTGGGTCTGATAGACACAGGACTCCGGGGGGGACCCATCGTGCGCAGGGGTTCAGCCAGACTCGGGTGAGCGCGTTGCCCCCACGGCGGAGCCAGGGGGACCCACGGCCCCAGAGGCCGTGCTTTCCGCGGGAGCCAGGACTTAGCGGAACGCAGAAGACAGTGGCGCATTCAGAAACGTGAAAAACTGAGTAAAAGGCCCTGTGTTATTTCTTGTGTTACTTCCTGGGATTAGCCAACCACCGACAGCCGGTCTTGTTAGCCTTCCCCACCCAGCGGGCTGGAATGGCGCGTCCTGCCATCACGCGCACCTACCAAGAAGGAAAACAAAAGAGCCGAGCGGGCTCCGTGCGGCCTTGCACCGTCCTGCTAAGAACAGAATCCGCCTGCATGAAGGGGCTGTGACGTAGGAATTGTGTCATTCTGGTGACTTCCACACGGGAGTTAAAAGATCTTACATCCGCATTCAAAACTGACGTTTCACAATGTAAATGTGAATGGTAAAACTCACGCGAGTAATTTGAATCTTTAGTATTTCTTCACTTACACTGGCACGAAATAGCAAAGAAAAACAGCATGAGAGAAAGAGAGAGAGAGAGAGAGAGAGAGACAGAGTCACCGCAGAAGAAAGGGAAAAGCTTCTGCTCACTACCTCTCGTGACGCCCCGCCCCCCGCGCTCTCATCCCGGACGAGGCTCCACAAGTCACTGGCCGCCCCGACCGCTCCCACAGTCCCACCTTCCGCCTTCCTGCTCGGCCCGGCCAGTTCTTCCTCATCCTTCGGGACGGCCGGTCCAGCTCTCTTTCCAGGAGAGAGTCCCTCGGACCCCAAGCACCCCATGCATCCCTCCGCCAGAACTGGAACGATGTTCACGGGTCCCAAACACGAGCGGGGACACTACCTCGCCTGAGTTGTGAACGCCTCCTGCACCTGCCACCAACCTGCTGAACACCTGCCTTCCGCTGGGCATCTCAGGTCCCGCCTCAATAGCTCCCTACCACTTTCAGAGTTGACGCTGTGACCCCTTTCGTCATCAGGCCCCTGTCCCTGTTCCCCCCCCCCCCCCCCAGCATGTGCCCTTGCCTGGGGGGCTTCCTTCGCGCCCCCCAGGCAGGTGGCTCTGCCTGCAGGGGCTGCTCTCCCCCCACCCCGGGGGGGCTGTATGCTGGGGGGCCACGCCTGGAGATGGGGGTCCACAGTCAGAGCTGCTGTCGGCCTTGGCCGGACCAAGAACATCCCCATGTGCACGGCTCCCTCAGGCCACACTAGCCACTTGTCCCCGCCTAGTCCCCCTGGGATGTGAAAACAGCTCCCGCCCTTTCGGGCACCAAATGAGCCTTTTCCTGGCGGAGAGGTGAGGACTGGATTCCTCAGCCCCTTACAAGGAAGCCTCCACTGCATACTCCTGCTTCTAGGCCCAGGGCTCCTGCTTGTGACTGAGGTTCCCTGTGGCTTCAGGGGGCCGCTTAGGTGACTGGGGACAAAGCAACTGACAGCTGACAGCCCGGGGCCCGGGGGGTCGGGGCACTTGGCTGTTAGGTGGCGGGGGGGGCGGGGCCTGTCCGGGCGGGGCGGGGCGGGGGGGGGGGGGGGTCCGGCCAGCACTGCTCCTGGCCCGTCAGCACCGCCTTCCTCACGCAGCCCAGACCGGCACCCCCTGATACGTGGCAGGCAGGGCTGGTCACCCCACCCATCACCAGAGGGCCGCCAGACCTCGGGGACTGTTAGTGTCTCGGGCTTGTGGGGGAGACCGGTCTTCACAGATCGGGTTTCCTGGGTTCAATGAGGAGACGGGCTCTCACGGGTACTGTCGTCATCCTGACGGTCCCCTTGTCTGCTCCTCCCCTCTCCTTCCCCACCCCAAACCAGCCCCATGGAAAATCTTGAATCAGGAGCCGCAGCTGTTGGAGTCTGGGGCTCTGCAGAGCCTGGCCCACGTGGCATAGGCTTTTCTTCCTCTGCAGGAGCCTCAACAGCCATCCCCAGGCCCCAGGTTGGTGGCTGACCCCTCCCCAGGCTGCAGGGACAGTGGCTGACCCCTCCCCGGGCCCCAGGATGGTGGCTGACCCTTCCCTGGAGAGCTGGCAGCATCTTTCCTCTCCTGGTCCTACAGTGAGTAGACTTTAGCCAATGCTTGTTTTCATAACCAAAAGTTAATTCTGATTTACTTGTTTTTGGACTTTTTCTGAAAGGTTTACAATTCTCCTGAGGACCATGGTAGACATTTTAGGACATCACAAAATCAGATTTGGAAAACATGGCATAGGACGTTCCTTTTAAAAGCAGCCCCATTTAAAACTGCATCTCAAATAGCTCAACATCAAAATTGCCAGACTCATTAAACAGCAAACAGCCTCCACGGGCAGCATACTAGTAGCCTGTGTCGGTTTCAGCCAAATGGTTATTTACCTGCAACTAGGACACGTGGGTGCAACCTGGTCTAACTCAGCCGGGCACAGACAAGCAGGGGTCTGCAGAGAAGGTTCCGGAAAGGAAATCCCATCCACACTAACAACAGCTCGAGGGAGCCACCTGACAGCGATAAACGATTAAAAATGATCCCCCAAAACCAGCCAGCCAAGACCACGCCGCCGGAGACACAGAACTTTCCTCTCTCTGTAACCCCCTCTCTTTTCACCCCTCAGTGTTCGGAGAAAACACCACATGTATGTTCACATCCCTGTGTTTTCTCTGCAGTGGACTCCAGAGGCAAGGTTTTTCTTCTGGAAAGCCCTCTGGGCCAGTCTTTAGGCAGACCCTTATATCCTCTACGTGCCGATGTCATTCTGGTTAAACAGAATACTGAACAGCAAGAGAAAATGGTTTCCCAACTCGGGCTCCCGCCAGGTAAATGGCCACGAGGACGCCAGGTTTCTCCCGCCTGGGCCTCAGCATCTCAGACAGGCTACCGGAGGTGGACGGAGTCCTAAGAGCCCCAGAAAGGCACGTGTTGGCAGCTACATTGGGGGCAACCACCCGCGAGGGCAGGCACAGCAGAGAACCCCACTCCTGGCTAGGAAGTCACCCAGGGAAGAGCTCTCAGGCTGATAAACAGCATCGCTGAGGGCACACAGGTGTGCCGGTTCACCTGTAGCCTGTCTTCACCGTCAGTATCTGAGCCACCTGTGAAGGGACAAGTCTTCTGGACGAACTGTCCCTCCCACTCAAGGGGGAAGCGGTGGGGGTACAGGGGCACCGGGGAGCTCACTCCATTTGGGGGGGTATACAGTGCTGATCTCGGGGCCTGTGGTCCCATGAGCATGGTCAAGGCCGCCCAGAGCCAGTGCGGGAGTGGAAAGCTCGGGCTCAGACCCCAGGACGTTCTGCAGAAATTGGGTAGGACCCGTGGCTTCAGGATGGACTTTCCACGCAGTAAGGAGCCGCCATCTACACTGTGGTCAGCTTGCTTCCGCCACAGAAGGGAAAGGAAAGGAAAGGGAAAAAAATGTTCTCTCCTGTTCCCACCCCAACCTCTGCGGCCCAAGAACTGCCTTCTTCTCAAGGTTCATGAGATTTTGCCCTGGGGTCTATTTTTCCTGGATATTTCCCTGCTCCCACTCTGCCGTGATTCTGGGATTTTCCCCCAAGAAGAATCTCTTGCCCTATCATGGCCTGATAAACCTACCGCAAACAAGAACAGCAAAAAGCCATAGGATTTCACGCAGACGACAGTCTTTAGCAGATTTCTGATTTCATGTGAGGCCTACAGAAAGGCAGGGATTTGGCCAAGGTCACACAGCTGTCAGCGGCCGGGACCAGACTACAACCCAGGTGTTTGCTCCCGGCAGGTGCTCTGTCCACCACCTGGTCCGACAGCAGCTACCAGCACCTTGTTGGGAGGAGGGAACGGGAAGAAGGAAGACCTAGGCAGAAGGCAAACCGTGTCTTCTGCAAAGCTCGTGCACTTTTCAACAAGCATTTTGATGAAACTATGATTCAACAGTGTTTTCATTCACTACCCGTGGCGACTGAACTAAAGTTGGGTGTCATTCTCTTTGGGAGAGGCACCTGTGGCTCCCCCCTCCTTCTGTTGTCGACTTTCCCCCACCCCGTGTCCCACGGTTCCCAGAGTCCTCCTGTGGCCGCGGAGCCCCCAGGATGGGGCACAGAACAGGGCTGCACTCCTCCATGCTTCTGGGACACGTTCTGCTCCTTTAGGCCCAACAGTCAGAACGCTTCCCTTTCTCTGTTTAGAAAACTCCTGTTCATCCTTCAAAACCCAGCTCAAATGACGCCCTCCTCAGGAAAGCTCCCCCAGCCTTCTTGGCATCCGGGCCAAGCTGGTGCTCCCCTTTCCACTCCTCTGTTCCTCCTCTGTGAGAGCATTTGCCACACGGTGCTGCGATGTCCCCACGCTCTCCAAGGCCGCCGCTCGTGATCCCCATGCTCTCCGAGGCCGCCGCTCGTGAGATTTGGCCCTGGGGGGCCCGTTGTACTAGTTACTCCCCTGCCCCCTCCCTGACCCCACAAATAGGAACCCCTTGTTATTTCGGCCTGGTAAACCTCCTGCAGAAAACTTAACTCAGTCATTGCCAAATACCCAGTCCCCACTACAGGAAAGCACACCAGTGTTTACAAAACTGACCAAAGCAGGCGGGGCCCTGGCTCTGCTGATTTCGATTTACTCTGGAAAGGAGCTTCCCACTGGGCTCGCCGGCCACACTATGAATGCATAAACCCAGGGTCAACCTGCGGCACTGGCCGAAGACGCAACTCCACTCACTCTCCTTTCCGGAGAAGTCTGACCATCTGGCTCCTGTCTCTCCATTCAACCTCTCCCCAGGCTCAGCCTGTTACCGTGTGAGCGGGAGACAGGGCCAGGCAGAAGGAACTCACCTATGACATTCCGGATGTCATCCTCCTCCTCCGGGCTCAGGGTGGGGCTGGCGGAGGCCCCGCCCTGCCCCGTGGCAGTGTCTCTCCCCAGCGGGTCCGTCTGGACTGTGGTGGGAGGCACCAGGGCCGTGGGTGGAGCCTCGGTAAATGCGTCCCCAGAGGCCCCTGGCACGGAGGCCGAGGCCGGAGGCTGCTGGGTGGCTGTGTGGGCCACGGTGGTGGCTGGTACCTGAGTGGAGGGTTCCAGGCCTGCCCCCGTCGTGGGACCTGGAATCACGGAGGAGGTCTGGAGCGGGTCTGGGAACCGCGTCGCTGAGGGGGACAGGGTGGGGTCGGGGGAGCTGGGATCTGAGGGCGAGGCCGGGGCCGAGGTCTGCATGTGGGTCGTGCCGGTGGTGCCCCGGTGGGTGGCCACCGGCCTCCGGGGGGCGCTGGTCAGCAGGTCGTTGTGTCTCAGAAGCTGATCTTCAATCAGCAGATCCACTCCGTTGTCCCCACTGAAAAACTCGTCTTCTGGGAAACAAACAGAAGGTCATCTGTGATTCGGGCGGAGGAGCACTGTCAGGCGGGCAAGAGTATGTGATATTCGGCAGATTAATAACAAGGTTTCTTTCCTCGACATGACGGCCTGATTCAGAGATGCAGCCCGGCTGGGACTGCACAAGAAGCAGGTGGGAAGCAGCAGAGATGGGAGGGCTCTACATCTCCTGGAGGGTCTCTGAACAGACCGCCTCTGGGCTCCACCCGGTCTCCGGGGCACCGGCAGGACGCACAGCCACGACCTGAGCTGGAGGAAGTCACCCCACCCCTGTCCACTCCCCTGGCAGACGCATATGGAGCACATTCAACAACGGTGAGCAGAACAAACATCCTTCCCCTTCATGGAGCTTCTGTCCAATGGTGCAGACGCTAAACAATAGACAGCACACTTACAGTGCTTGGGGGAGAAAGTCGAGGGGGGTGAGGCATGCCCTGGAGCAGGGAGGCGAAAGGAGACTTCCAGTAATGGATAAAGTGGTCAGGAGGGAGATGAGCAGAGGCCCTAAGGAGGTGAAAGAGTTGGCCAAGCAGCCATCGGAGGAAGAGTATTCTGGGGAGAACAGCAGCAGTGCAAAGGCCCTGAGGCCAGAACCTGCCTGCGAAGGCTGAGGAGCAGCCAGTGTGGAAGAAGCAGAGGGTGTGAGAGGAGAGTATCAGGTGACATCAGGGAGGACACAGGAGCCATGTCACATTGGGTTTGGCTGCTGTTTGGACTTGAGTTCTTCTTGTGCATGAAATGGGGGACTGTGCACGGTTTTGAGCAGAGAAGGAATATGAGGAGGCAAAGATCTCTTAGGACACAAAGTCTAACCACAGATGAAATAAACAGAGAATTGCATTTCATCTGTTTGTTAAAACCACCATTAAGGAACTGAAGCCATGGGCAGGGCAAAAACGTTTGCAGTACATACAATGAACAAAGGACTTGTTCCAGAATATGTAAAAGAAAAAAAAATCCCATAAGTCAGTAATTTAAAACGACAGGGGCGCCTGGGTGGCTCAGGTGGTTAAGTGTCCGACTTCAGTTCAGGTCATGATCTCACAGTCCGTGGGTTCGAGCCCCACGTCGGACTCTGTGCTGACGGCTCAGAGCCTGGAGGCTCCTTCGGATTCTGTGTCTCCCTCTCTCTCTCTACCCCTCCCACACTCATGTTCTGTCTCTGTCTCAAAAATAAATAAACATTAAAAAAAATTTAAAAAAAAAAGGCAGCAAACAAGGTTAAAAATGGGCAAAGGGCACCTGGGTGGCTCAGTCGGTTGAGCATCCGACTTCAGCTCGGGTCATGATTTCATGGTTCGTGGGTTTGAGCCCCGCGTCGGGCTCTGTGCTGACAGCTCAGAGCCTGGAACCTGCTGCGGGTTCTCTGTCTCCCTTTCTGCCCCTCCCCTGGTTGCACACTCGCACTCTCTCTCTCTCTCTCTCAAAAATAAATAAACATTAAAAAAAATTCTTTTACATGGGCAAAATGACTATGCCAACAGCTAGGTGAGCATCAACTGTGAGGAGGGACAGGGGAGAAGCCCAGGTACCCTGGAGGCAGGAACAGGTGCGGCGGGGGGCAGGGGCAGGGGTCTGAGCACATCATCCCACCTCCAAGCCTCAGGGTCCTCATCTGCAAACTGGGAAACCAGGCTCGGGGGTGGGGGTGAGGGGTGCACAGAAGTCCCTTAAAGCTCTGCTGTGTGATCTTCTGCAAGCCCAGAGAGGTCAAGTGACTTGCCCAAAGCTGCTCAGCAAACTGTGAGAAGATACAGCAGGAACTCGGGATAGTTCGTAACCGCAGGCAATTTTCCCATGACCCGGCTGGCCCGGAGAGGCCACGGCAGCAATCGGACCCCAGAAGGGGCGTGTGGCTCAGAGGACGTGCAGATACACAGGGTGCAAACGGTGACTCCCTCCCCACCCCGCCGACCCCCAACTCACGCTGCTCTTCGATGTTGTTCTCCTCCTCTGGGACCTTGGCCTTGTAGTAGGTGATGCCCCGGATGACGGTGGGCTTGGAGGCCGGCCGGCCCCGCAGGGGGACCTGCCTCTGTAGGGGCCGCTGTGGCCTCACCACCTCGGGCGGGGCCAGGGGCCGCGTCTGCAGGAGCTCGATGGAGTTGATCTGCTGGGACACGGTTTCTTCCTGCAGAAACCGCTCCTCATACTGTTCAGAGGGGACACAAGTTAAGGTCAGGTCACTGGCTAGACAGGCAGTGGTAGGAGGAGGCAGTGCTGGAGCCGGGACACTGTCCTACATGCTTTACGGACGCCAACCAATCTTCCCCCGAGTCCCATGAGGTAGGAGCTATTTATCACTCCCACGTACACATCAGGAACCTGAGGCACAGAGACGTCATGTAAATTGCCCAAGGTCCCACAGCAGGTAAGCGGTAGCAGCAGGATTTGAACCCAGGCCCTCTGGCTCCAGCACGTGTCTCTGTAACGTCCACACTGTGCTTCCCAGCCTAGGGCTGCTGTGTGACTTAGATCTCGTCTCAGCCGTTTCCGGGGAGGTCTGTGTGTGGGCAACGGTGCCCAGGCTGGAACATGAGGCCCGAGAACCAAGATGCACCCCTCGGGATGAAGCTTTTCCTTCCACGATCAGAAGGAACTGCTCCACAGCCTCCCTGATGCATCCAGGATAAAGCCCAAAGTGCCTGGCCTGGCATTTTCCACCCTCTTAAGCACGGACCCGGACCCAGCTCAGCATTCCCCTGTCTTGTCCTGCGCCCCCAGCCCCAACCCTTCCTTGGTGCTTCAGTCACCTGGCTGACTCCTCAAACTCTCGGCTCTTCTGAGCTGCTGGGCCTTTGCTCGGACTGTTTTCTCCATCTGGAAGGCCTCCTCTCTTCCCCCCTCTAGCTACTTATCATAATGTACCCATTTCTCAAGGCCCCGCTAACCTCTCACGTCCTTAAGAAAATAGCCCCAGCCCTTCTCGTTCATAATTAATCTTTGTTTCCCAGTTCTCACTCTGCACTTTGTGGCAGAAACTTCTAACCGACCACGTAAATCCCGTCTCCTTGTTCCTCTCTAATGGGAAGCTGGCTTTGTGGGAGGGGCCACGGGACAAAGTCCTGGCCGGTGGGGTGTAAGTAGAAGTTGGTGGAAAGAGCTTTTGGACGAGCTCCTTAAAAGGGAGGCTGAGTCAGCTGGAAGGCATCTTTCGCACTCTTCCTGACTGGTCTGGCCTGAAATGCGGACGGGCTGCTAGAGTAGAGCAGCCCTCCTGTGACCAGGAGGGGGTCTGGAGGATGGATGCCACTGATGGCACCATGAAGTTAACCACCCACCACGGTCTGCCTGCCCCTGGAGCCCTTCTACACGAAAGAACAGCAGACTCGGGCCTTCTCCTCACGATGCTGAACACAGCTCCTAAGGGACACAAGTCTATCCCTTCTACCACAGCACCTCTCCCAGCCTGCCTTCCATGGGCATTATTTAAGAATTTGCCTCGGGGCGCCTGGGTGGCGCAGTCGGTTAAGCGTCCGACTTCAGCCAGGTCACGATCTCGCGGTCCGTGAGTTCGAGCCCCGCGTCGGGCTCTGGGCTGATGGCTCAGAGCCTGGAGCCTGCTTCCGATTCTGTGTCTCCCTCTCTCTCTGCCCCTCGCCCGTTCATGCTCTGTCTCTCTCTGTCCCAAAAATAAATAAACGTTGAGAATAATACCTTTAAAAAAAAAGAATTTGCCTCTGCAGACCATATGGAATAGAAGGACAGCAATCACCTCTTGCTCATTTTTGATGGCCCTGGCTGGGCGCTCCTTAATATTTACATTGAATTTCCCTTAAGTCATCTCTGTGCCCAACACGGGGCTCAAACTCATGACCCCAAGATCGAGAGTCGCCTACTCTACTGACTGAACCACCCAGGCACCCCCCGTTGCACTGAATTTTTTAATCAGAACAAATCCCGAGGAACAGTCTACATTTGTGACTGGCATTGGGATTCTGTCAAATGATGCTTTAAAGTAGGCAGCCCATGACCCAGGCCTCTTTTTTTTTAAGTTTCATTTATTTAAGTAATCTCCTCACCCAACATCGGGCTTGACCTCATGGCCCCGAGATCAAGAGTCGCACGCTCCTCCGACGGAGCCAGCCGGGCGCCCGACCTGGGTGTCCTGACAGCACCCTGAGGACGCTGCCGTGGTGGTTCTGGTCCAGCAGAGGAAGCGCCCTGTCCTCCGTGGAGCTGCTGCCCAGGGAATGGCCTCTTGTGTCCACGGCGTGGCACGCTCTCTGGGTCCTGCCTCGGTCCGTCTGGTCACGTAGCCGCCCCCAACCCAGGATCCCGATCACCCACCACTGAAAACAACAGACTTTGGGCACAGGTTCCTGGGAGCCGAGTTCAAAGCCAGGGCCGCCCACAGGTGGGTCCAGTTCCTGAGGGGTGTGGCCCTGCCCTGCTCTCAGGAGGAGGGCTTCGGGGGCTCCATAGTGAAGAGGAGGCTTCCTGTCGCCCCCGAGCCATGGAAGCCCCCTCCTCACCACGACGAGGTGGGCAAGCGCCCCTAAATCCCGTTACCTGAGACCCCAGTGACATCCCCCCAGAGAAGCAGAGCCCACTGAGAAACAACACCTCTGTCCCCGGAGGCCCAGGGTCCTGAGAGGCAGGGCACGGCCTTCAGGGTCACAGAATATGAGCTGGAGGAAAGCCAGCCCGAATGGCCAACTTTCTCACTTTGCACAGAAAGAAGCAAATAAGGCTCTTGTTTTGACCTTAAAAATCTGGCCTGGAGGAAACCTGGAGTCCTTCCCGACCACACCCCCAAGGCTGTACTGGGTTTTCCCGTGACAAAAGAGCTGAACCAGGTGACAGAGCAGACATGGCAGCTCCATGCTCCCTGGCGTCCCGTGGGGACCGACTTCTCCAAAGCAGGGGCACCTCTCTGCCAGCCTCCCCTGGCTGGGGCCAGCCGGCGCTCTAGAAAGGGGCAGGCGTGTGCCCAGGGGAGCCCCCACTCCTGCCACCTGCCCCCTCCCCAATTCCCACTTCCTGCTGGTGAGCTGAGCTGGACTAGAGATGCAGGGATACGTGGCCTGTGGGGAAGAACTGCAGTGGGCTCCCATTCTGACCAGACGCGTCCCTTTATGGCATTTTTTAACCCTTACGACAATGAGGCGAGGTAGAGAGCACTTTACAAATAAGCAAAGAGGGGCTCGGGGTCATTTAGAAACTCGGCTGAAGGTCAATCAGTGAAGTGGCCGAGAGGGGCACTTCCGAATTAGGCCCAGGGCTGCTGTCTTTAGAGCCTGCACACTTCCTTACATTAAGCCACACTGCCCACACCGGTGACCACGGGACGGACTTGTCTGCCATCCAAAAACTCGTCTACACCCCCAAGCCCACAAGGCCATGGTCTGGCTACTGCCCAGCAGACTTGGGGATCCCTCATTTCCCACTGGGAAAGGAGGCTGGGAAGCTGAGAAGAGGCCCCCAAGCGCCTGACTCAGACGCTGTGGGCCGGCTAATTGCTGGACCCTGGCCTCCCTCCGCATTGCAAAAGCAGGTTGTCATTTCTTCATGGTAAACCCCAGGAACTGTCTTTAATTCCAGGCTCTCCGGGACAGGCGGGAACTGCGCTTCCTTCTCCCAGCCAAGCAGATGGAGTAAGACCATGGCGGCCTCTGCCAGAGAACATATAATTTCCCTGGATCCGCTGGCGACAGGCTGTGCTGGGCGGCCGCTGCCCCCACCAAGCTTTGATTTCCTCTCTCTGTTAATCCAAGAGTCTGTTGTATGACTTCAACTCCTGGCGTCCCTGTGTCCCCACTCCCAACCCGGCCCCCAGAGCCCCTTGCCAGCCCTCCAGGCAGCGACCTTGTTGGAGAGAGGCCTCCAACAAATGGCCATTCACCACGCCGAGAAACCCCAACATCATCGACGAGAACCCTGAAAATAACCACCGAACCCAGCACCCCATTTGCCCCCTTTTGAGTCATGGGGTTCGCTACAGAGACAGAAAGATGAAGCGGGGGGGCAGGAAGATCCTAGCCTTGGCCTTCCCCCTTCCCTCCCCTCCCCGGCCCAGGCTCTACCCCCTGGCACGGGAGGATTGTGCTCACCTCAGCAGCGTGCTGAACGGGGATTTCAGGAGGGGAAAGGGCTTTGCTGAGCAAGGACAAAACGGGTTTGGTGCATTTGATTTGGTTTACTGTTTGCCCTCAGGAAATATGAGCCGGGTTGCTGAACATACCACATAATGTATCATCAAGACAACAGACGGGTTCTCAGGCTCAGCCGACTGGGAAACTGGAAGCCAGAGAAGGCAGGGAATGCCGGACTCCGCTGGGCACTGGGCCAGCTCAAGATGCCAGACGGGCTGAGACAGGAGTGGCTGGGTCCCAGGTGCGGGGAAAGGGTACCTCCAAGTTCCCTTCCAGCCCAAATGTCTTCAGCTTTTTGGTTTAGAAGCTCAGATCTGGGGCGCCTGTTGAGCGTCCGACTTCGGCTCAGGTCATGATCTCACGGTTCGTGAGTTCGAGCCCCGTGTCGGGCTCTATGCTGACAGCTGGAGCCTGGAGCCTGCTTGGGATTCTGTGTCTCCCTCTCTCTCTGCCCCTCCCCCACTCATGCTCGGTCTCTCTCCCTCTCAAAAATGAACGCTAAAAGAAAATTTGTAAGTTCAGACTTGTTCAAGGATGACCCACTAAGCTGACTAAACACATGCTCAGCAGCTAGTGCCTTGGGGACAACTAAAAATGAGAATAAAAATAATTGCTTAAGAAACATGGTATTTCCAAAAAATCATCAAAGCAGTCATCATGGGCCAAGCCAGAAAATTATTGGCCTTCCTTATACTTATTTTCTGGTCTGGAACTGGTTTTATTTTCAATTCCTTGTTGGGCAGGGTGCAAGTACCGTATGGTCTTCAGGGTTTCTGGCCTCCACAGTCCGGATCTGCCCACTGTCCTGCCTTCGGAATACATGTGCCCAGGATTTCCCCTAACCCACAGCTGCTGCCTGCCTGGCATCTCTTTCACGAGTCTCCAAGCGTTCCGAGCATCGGCTGACTTCCTCTCTTACCCCAGTTCGTAGCGGCCCAGGCAACAGGCTCCTACACAGCAATGCCTAGCCCTTCTCTACGTCGCAGTGCACAGCAACGGCTCAGACGCTCTGAGTGTCCAAGGCCCTGCGCCCTGCCTGCCCCCCAACACCCCGCCAGGGGACACCTCGGCAGCAACACTCACTCACAGAGCCCCTCTGGGCCGCAGAGTCAACCCTGCCCCATCACACCCACAGAACTGCTACCTAGATAAAATGACACCGTGACCGTGAAAGAACCAAATCCGGCAAAGCTCTGTGCACGCGTGAGAGCCATGCCAAGTCCGCATGGCAAGAGGAAGGTGACCGGGCACCAATGGGTTCCGCAGGTGGCAAGCGTGGGGCTCGTGGGGGTCAGAGCAGAGAGGGAATGGGCACAAAGCAGGCTGTGCTCGGGGGCCAGGGAGCCGGGGCCGTACCTCGGGGTGGGTGTAGGCGGCCGCCGCGTCCCTCTGCAAGGCCGAGCGGACGTCCGGCATGCTGTCCAGGAGGCTCTTAGAGCAGTTCTCTTTCCCCCGCTTGTTCATCTCCGTTCGGATTTCTTCCATGTCTTCTTTGATTTGCTCATTTTCCTTGGTGAGGTTTTTGGAAACTTCCTGAGAAGAGAAAAAATGTAAAAAAGAAAATCCATGATGAGGCATCTGGGTGGCTCAGTCGGGTAAGCATCTGACTTGGGCTCAGGTCACGATCTCACGGTTTGTGAGATTGAGCCCTGCATGGGGTTCTATGCTGACAGCTCAGAGCCTGGAGCCTGCTTCGGATTCTGTGTCACCCTCTCTCTCTGCCCCTCCCCTGCTCAGTCTCTCTCTCCTTCAAAAATAAATAAATGTTAAAAACAGTAAAAAAAAAAAAAGAAAAAGAAAAAGAAGATCCATTAATGTCCTCTAAAGATGAACAGAAGGCAGCTGGCAGCCATCTTCGGCTCAGAGCTAGAAACGCAAAAGCAGGCTGAGAAATCGGCCAAGAAGTGACTGGGGCTCTGGAGAGGTCCGGCCCTGTGCTGAGGGCCAGATCCCAGGCAGTATTTCTGGGCCAATACGGCTCTGGGGTGTCCCACTGCTGGACATGCTACCCCAAACTCCCATAGCTTTCCTAGTCATGACACTGCCTTGTCTCTAGGTCACCAGGACACCTGGCTCCTTTTCTGTCATTTGCACACGGTCGTCCTTACCCGGTGAGAACTAACACTACAGAAACTTCCACTCATACCCCATACATGTGTACCAGCAGCTCAATGAACGGAAGAAGGGTTTTTAAAGCAATTTTAGAAGAGGTGGCTGAAGACATCTACTTAACCTGCATTTCTAATGAACACAAACTAACCCCCAACACTTTGAAAGCATCATTTACATAGAAAACCCACAGGCTGGTTTTAAACTTTCCTATTTACCCATAAAAACAGATTCCCTAAATGACTTCCACCTGGCAAAGGAATGGTGTTCCAGTCCTGGTTCACACCGGAAGGGACCAAAGGTACATCTAAGCCAACCAACACTGGTGAGTACCTCCTGTGTGTCTAAGGAGCAAAGCCTCACGATACCCTGGGGCTCTTGGTCTGGGGGTGCCGGGGAGGTGCCAACTATAACTGGGAAGAAGGTCCGCGTGGCAAGAGGAAGGTGACCGGGCACCAATGGGTTCCGCAGGTGGCAAGTGTGGGGCTCGTGGAGGTCAGAGCAGAGAGGGAATGGGCACAAAGCAGGGCCCCAGAGGCAGTGACGCAGCACGGGATTTGAACCAGGGATGGGTACCAACAGGCTCAGAGGGGCCCTTCTCCTCTGGTTATTCTGAGGGAGTTGGTTTACTGCACGGAGACCCAACACTGTCCTGCTCTGGCCTGCATTCTAGTTTGCATGAGCATCTGAGTTTTTATTTTTTAATTTTTTTAACGTTTATTCATCTTTGAGAGACAGAGACAGATAGGGTGCGAGCCGGGGAGGGGCAGAGAGAGAGGAAGACACAGAATCCGAAGCAGGCTCCAGGCCCTGAGCTGTCAGCACAGACAGGTGCCCCGTGAGTTTTCAGATGGGATGTTCTCCTTGGGCCGTGATTATGACGTGGGTAGAGGAAGCCACCACGTAAAACAGAAGATGCATTTGCTTTCTGTCTTGGGGACCGTAAAAGCACAGACGTTGACAGGCACAGCCCTGCAGCCTGGCAGGACACTAAGTCCTAGAGGAAAGCCGCCGTAGCTCCGAGTGGGGTGTAGAAGTATCCAGGCCGGCAGTAACCCCCGGCATTGTGGCTCCCGTGGCTCCCATGGGGGCTCCCCTGACCAGTCTACTAGGCCCCGGAACCACCGGCCATGCCATTGTCCTGGCATTTCATTTCACGGCAGATTTCGAGCACTGGAAGGGCTTGATGTGTTTTGTGGGGCTCAGGCTAAGCTCGTGTCTCTAAATGGCAGCTAACTGTGAGAGAGAAAGCCCCTGAGAAAGAAGTCTTCTTTAAGGAATACCCAGAATGAGCAGTCTTACCGGCGGTCAAGTGCAATGGTTAAGAGCATGGATTCTGGAGGGAACAGTCTGGCTTACGTGTCAATGTTACTCCTACTTCTTTGATCCTAGACAAATCAAAGTCCCTGAGCTGCAGTGTCCCCAGGCGTAAAATGGAGTAATACTAGGATTTTCCCTACGGATTATTAGGAGTAAATAAGTGAGTATATATGGAAGTGCATGGGACATGGTGATTATCTTTGATAGGATGTTACAGCTGGGTGTTCTAGGCCCCTGCAGGATCCCAGAATTCACGCCCTTCTCAGATGGGGAAACTGAGGCCCAGAGGAACGATGTGGTTTTCCCACGATGATAGACACAAAAGTGGCAGAGCTGAGCCCAGCACCCGGCCTCCCGGCCCTTGCTTCCGCAGTTCACTTGTGGAACCACTAAGACGGCTGGGGGGAGGGTCCTGGAGCTCAGCCAGTTCTCTGAGCAGTGGGGAGCCCATCAGAGGGGCCTGTGAATGTTGCAGTGTGGTCTCAGGGTATGTGAGAGAATATGCATATGCAGAGAAATGCAGAAAGGGTGGATTCCCCTAAGTCCTTGTTACACAAAGCATGGTTCAGGAACCTGTTAGGAGTGCAGTTTGGGCCCGGCCCAGGCACCTGCGGAATCAGAATCTGCGTTTTAACAAGACCCCCAGGCGATGTGCATACACATCAAAGTTTGAGAAGGGCTGTCTTAAATGTTGGAAGCTTGGGGTACATCTGCTGGAAACAGGGCCAAAATGTATGAAAGGGGCTGTTTTACCGGAGCCAAATATTTGGATTCACACGTTTCTTTTTTGTTTTTAAAGATTTCATTTTTTAAAAATTTCTTTTACATGTTTATTTATTTTTCAGAGACAGAGAGCATGGGCGGGGAAGGGGCAGAGACAGAGCCAGAATCCGAAGCAGGCTCCAGGCTCTGAGCTGTCAGCACAGAATGTGACTCAGGGCTCGAACCCACAAATTGTGAGATCATGACCTGAGCCTAAGTTGGACACTTAACCGACTGAGACACCCAAGCACCCCTAAACATTTTATCTTTAAGTAATCTCTACACCCAATGTGGGGCTTGAACTCACAACCCCGAGATTAAGAGTCTCATGTTCTACCGCGGAGCCAGCCAGGCGCCCCAGGATTCACGCCTTTCTATACATCCACGAGCACCTGCTAAGAGCAGCATCCAGGCATCTCCCCCATGAATTCTCCACATCCTGAGGCAACACAGCCCAGCAGGCTCAGTGGTTCAGAGTGTTACTTCTTCATTAATGCATTAATGTGCTCAGTGCTGGGCACCAAGGGGTCCAGCAGAAGCCACAAAGCCCAGGATCCTGCTCTGATAAAGACCACCCTCCACTGAGGGGAAGAAAGCAATAAACAAGAAAGCACCAACTAGTGACAAGTGGAAGGCAGGGCGAGGTGACAGAGGTAGCTTCTGGCTCCTCATCGAGGTCAATGACTCTGTCTCTAAGGTGGGGGCTGAGGCCCTCAGACTCCACTCTGGGTGGATCCCATGGCAGGGCCCGCATAGCCTTACGGCCAAAACAAGATTCCGCCTGATTCCTGAACACCCTGCAAGAGTCCACATCAGCCTGTGAGCTCACTGGGAGGCAAAGGGGCGGCCCCCCAGATTCACCTGCTCTCTAGACCCCGGGGGTTCTAGGTCCCTGGAGGGGCTTTCTTCTCACTGATGTATGAGTCCCCAGTACCCTTTCTGATTTCAGTGAGGAAGCATTATTTTGGGTTTCGGCACGGGAGGGTTGACATGGCACGGCCTTGAGCGCCCATGGGAACAACAGAGTTTACTCTCCTGAATCAACACCCGGCTGGCGGTGACATCACCCCACTGGCCAGCCAGGCTGAGCCAGGCGGTGTCCCCCAGGATGGCACAGCGGCTCTACCTCCTCAGCCACCCACTGACCCGGCCACCTCCCCCCTACCCGGGGGTGCTGGCCCTGCAGGGCTCCCCACGGCCCCCTGAGAGTCTGGCTTCCCCGTGGGGCACTTCTCAGGAAGTACGGGGGAGGCTGCCCACACAGGGCCCTCTAGACTCAGCCCTGGCAGAAGAGTGAACCCCATGACCTCATGCCTTGGGCTCTTCCCCCGGGACAGCTGCAACCGTGACGTCCATGGCGAGTGCTGCTTGGCTCACGGGCAGCGCTGGCAATGTGGCCGAGGAGGCAGGCAGGGGGTCTACCTGGCAGGGGCCGGCACACCGCACGGTGGCCGCCAAGGATCCTGGTGCTATGAGGAGGAGGGTGGGGAGGAGGGCAGAAGAGCCAGTGGACAGAAGGCTGGCACCAGAGGCTGGGCACAGCCAGGCGCAGCACTTAAAGACCCGAGCAGATCCAAGGACCTGAGAGGCGCTGACAGAGCAGGCGGCTCGTGCTGGAGGGACACGCGGTCGGGCACTGGGCACAGGAGGGTGCGAGCCGAGGGTGCAAAGGGGACCAGCGTCCCGTGCTGACTACGGCCAGATGCGCAGATACCAGAGGAAGGAACCAGGCGAGGGGCTGGGTGTAGGCGAAGTCGGGGGCACAGCTGGCACGTGGTCAGCCAGAGCCATGGAGGGTCTGGTGCAGGTGGGTGGGATGGGGGCAGGGGCCAGGGCCGAGGGGGAGACTGAGCAAGAGCGTGAGCCGGCGGTGCTGGGACCTGCTGGGACCTGCTGGGACCTGAGGAAGAGACACCACAGCGCAGGGCTCTGGCCGCTCGCTGTGGTCTCACTCCCCCTGCCCAGAGCACTGGACAGCGCTGCTGTGAGGGGAGGTGCTGGCTCCGGGGACCAGCCACACCGCCATCGCCACCGGAAGGCAGGTGATGGGACCGCTCTGGGAATAATGACACTGCCCCCCCCCCCCCCAAGCAGGCCTGGCGTGGAGAATGAACCAGGAGCTGCCTGCACAGTGCCAGGCACGGAGTAGGACTTGGTGTGCCCAGCGAAGCTGGAGTGGAACCCCTGCGACCCCAGCAGCAGACAGGCAGGTGGGAAAGGGCAAGTGAGCTAACGTTCGGTGGGCTGGGCAGGAGGGAAGGGGACGGCCCCGAGGCTGCTGGGTCTTAAAGAGACGCACCAGACACCTGCAGGAGGAGACACAGCTGGACTGCGGCTGGGCC